TCCAGTTTGACCTTCATTTATTTGCCAATGAAAAAAACTGGGACGAAGAGAAAGGTGTTCATTTAAGGTATATTGCTTGAACATTAAAGAAAATAATTCTCCTGTGTCAAAATCCCCTGAAAAAGTATGAATGCGAATAGAAACCACTCTGTAAGTTACTTACAGGAAGTTCATTTGGGCCAAAAAATGTTCCACATTGCAATATAAGAACCAGTATTCCAAAACAGAATACTACTCTTTTGATAAAGAGTATAAAGGGATATATGAGATACTTACCAATGGAGATAATATTGGCAGAAGGAGGGTAATGGTTGCTGGATTGCTGGCTACCTCTGTTAAAGATGTGACCATTAAAGAAGCTATCAGAATTATCAGCCATACTGGTAATGAACCTAGAGGAGATAATTTGTTTCCTATCCACTTAGATAGTCCTGACTCCTAAAAAACAAATTTGCAACATTCGTTATTGGTCAAAAATTGCTTTTGATCAGACACAATTTAAATACATAAAAAACACTATTCACTCTGAAACTCAGTTCCTAAAATATAATTGTAATACTTAATTTTTTTTTTTAGAGAGGTTTTTGCTATAGGATGCGTGCGCTCGTCAGACAGAGAGAGACAGAGAGATAGAAAGCGAGAAATCACCCCCCAGGGGGGTTGGCCACGCTGCAATCCCTTCTCCTTCATTCTCCTCTCGGGATCTTGGGCATGCACGCACACGCGCCCGGCATGAGTTTTTAAGCCACCAGGTCCGGGACGCAAACCACGGTCAACTACATGGGAGTCCAGCGACATAGCCATTACGCTAACTGCTGGTCCCTGTACTGGAGATTTTAACAAGTCATGTAGCGCTAGGGGGACAAGAGCAGCCCTTCTAGTTCATTTCTCCCTACTCCTAAATTGTTCCCCAGAAACTTACTTTCAACTTCATTTCTTACTTATAGCTATATTTAGGTGCTTATAGTAATCTTTCAAAGTAATATTCTAATTATGATTTTGTCCTAAGTTTCAAATTCATACTTTATATTAATACATACACAATAGTCCGACCTTATCCATGGAGGTCATGTTCTAAGACTTCCAATGGATGCCTGAATCTTGGCTGGTACAAAACCCTACATGGTACTATGTTTTTTGATGTGCTAATCAAGATGTCTACTAAGTGAATAATAGGTACGTAGTGTATGTAGTGTGGTTACTCTAAACAAACAGATGGCTCACATCCTAGATGGGAGGGACCTGTATGCCACAACATTTTACCACACTACTCAGTAGCACACTATTTAAAACTTACAATTTTTTTTTATTTCTGGAATTTTCTATATAGAATTGTTGGACCATAAATAAACTGAAATCAGAGAAAGCAAAACCCCAAAGGGGATGGCCACGCCGCAATCCCTTCTCCTCCATTCTCCTCTCTGGATCCTGGGCACGCACGCACACGCTCCTGGCATGAGTTTAAGCCACCGGGTCCAGGACTCGAACCGCGGTCGACTACATGGGAGTCCAGCGACATAGCCATTACACTAACTGCTGGTCCCCATAGTTAAATTTTGAACTAGTGGCTTCATACTGGCCACTTAGATGTTTAATTTATCCTGGGTATCTTGTAGAGATCTTATTCTGTGTGTTAAAATTTTTTATCAACTAGACCTCTTTCTGTGGTTTACTTAATTCTTCTACTGAGAGAACCTAGTGCTTCAGACTAAGTCCATGTCTTTTAATTTCCTTGGATTTTGTGATTGTGGGGTCTGACTTGTTACTTTGAAAACTATTTCCAGTGTCTCAGGTTCAAGTCGGACAGATATTCTGGAGAGAAGCGATGAAGGAACAAAGGTTATTTATTCTGAGAATCCACATCTTATTACTGCTGACATAGTAGAAAAGAAAAATGCATTTGCCTTATATTTCTACTGTTTCTATTCAGGCAGTGTATAAGGCAAACCAAATCTAGACCTAAAATGTTGTAAATGGCACTCAGAATTGAGACAATTTCCAAGTCTTTCTGCTACTCCTAAATACTCTTACTTAAAGTTGTATTCAAATGCTGTGCAGAAAATTTGACAATAGAGTAAGAAGCAAAGAACAGTCTCCCTGTAGATTGTCAAGAAGAGAAAATGTTATTTTGTCCTGAGAAGTATACAAATTTAGCCAGTAGGTGACATGGAGTTTAAAGCCCTGGATCCCACATGACTGACTGGACGATTCAAGTCCCAGACTTGGTAGGTTGAAAATCATAGTGGGCGAGTGTGTGTGCATGCCCAAAATTCTGAGAGGAATCTGGAGGACAAGAAATTGCAGTGTGACCATTACCCATGGGGAATGATTTCTCACTTTCCTTCTCTGTCTCTCTCTCATGCACAAGGGCACTCACCCTATAGCCAAAAAATATAAAATAAAATAAAATAACCTCCTAAAAATTGTGCCAAGGGTCTGGACACAATTTTTCTCATCATTGTTTTTAATTTAATGACTAAGGAAATTGAAGAACCATAAGTTTTGAGTATTTCACAAAAGGCTATGAAATTCAGAAATGAGTGGATTTTAGTTAGTCTAAGAGTAAAGGTCTACATAGAATTTTTGGAGAAAATACTTCTCTTCCAGCAACCCTTCAATAACCAGGGTAGGGGCCAGCAGTTAGTGTAATGGCTATGTCGCTGGACTCCCACGTAGTCGACCGTGGTTTGAGTCCCAGACCCGGTGGCTTAAAATTCACGCCGGGTGTGTGTGCGTGCGTGCCCAAGATCCTGAGGGGAGAATGGAGGAGAAGGGATTGCGGCGTGGCCATCCCCCTTGGGGGGGTGATTTCTTGCTTTCTATCTCTCTGTCTCTCTCTGTCTGTCCGGCGAGCGCACGCACCCCATAGCAAAAACCTCTCCAAAATAATAATAATAATAATAATAATAATAATAACAATAATAATAATAATAAATAACCAGGGTAATCGCAAGGGATAAGACTCATTTCTGCTACTTTATATAAACCAGATACATAAGTCATAGAAAGGGTCAACTGCATTCCTCATGGTGTTTTTATTTCTCCCTAAGATTAGACGTAATACAATATTAGACACAGTTGTGTGAATTTCTCTCTGGATTTCATTCCACAAACATTCATTAAGCACCTTTAATGCTAATGTTATTTCTCATGCTCTTCCTTTGCAAATGATAGGACCGTGCTATATTAATAACCTAAGGCTACTTGAATTCATCATGAAAAAATGTAAAGAAATATACAAATAAACACTATGCTCCATTAAAAGTCACTTTACCTATTATTTTTATGTAAGTTTTTCTCACTAAGCTAGTCTTCTAATCCTATTTCATGGATTAAGAATTTAAATCTTTTTATATTATCTCTTTTGACAGGCTGAAATACCATTAATAAATGATGTTTTATGCTCAAAGCCTGTAAAAGTTCTTGAATTCTGAATTCACCTCATTTGTGAGGGATATCCACTGCATGGCTATTGAAATCTGCATCACCAAAATGATAGAATAAAGTTAAATATATCAAAAGTGTGAATGCCTCTGTGTTCTTTTGAACATTTTGGTTAACCGTTAAGTGTCTTAGACACAATATTACCTCACAGCCATCTGCCAGGGCAAACCCTCCACCAACGAGAATGGCTATATCCCAGGGCATGAATGACTGAAATTCTTTCCAAGTAATCAGTGGAGAATAATCAAAGGCAACTGCAAAACAAAAGTCCTACAATTACATATTGCTTAAAATATGACAATATGACATGTGCTTCTTCCAGCATCCGAAATAGGCATCACAGAGGAAGTTTGTAATATTTATTTTTAATTTTTTTTTTTTAAAGAGGGTATTTACCTGATCTGGACTTCAAGTAATTATCATCTGGCCTAGATGGAATATTATGTCTTTTAAAAAATTCTATAGCTTGGGGCCAGCAGGTGGCAGGGTAGTTAAGGGCTCTGGTCTCCCTCATGGCTGGCCATGGTTTGAGCCCCAGACCTGGCATTTTGTTTTCTCACTTTCCCTCTCTCTCTCACTCTGTCCCTCTCTGGTCTATTAAAATAAATAAATAAATAAAGTTAAAGAAAAGAATTCCTTAGATAAAATGCTATAACTTAAAAAGAATCTTTTGAATTCTATGAGAAGATTTTAAATATTAGTAGAAAAATAGAGTTAAAATCTGAGTTTTTTGGTATCAGCAGGTGGCATGGAGGATAAAACACTGAGCTCCCATGGCTGACAGTGGTTTGAGCCTTGGACTCAATGGCTTGAAAGTTATGCTAAGCATATGTGCATGCCTGCCCAAAATCCTAAGAGGAGAATGGAGGAGAAGGGATTGGAGTCTTGCCATCCCCTTTGAGTGATTCTCATTTTCCTTCTCTGTTTTTCTCTAATAAATGTATGCACCCTATGGCAAAAACCTAAAAAAAAAAAATGTTTATTTTGTCTAAAAAATTTGTTGATATTCATGCTTAGTCTTTTTCATAATATGCATTCCCATGAACTTTTTGAAGACCCCTCATGATATGGAATATATTTAGATAAATTATATAACCTTTCATTTATAATGATATTATTTATTCTACTAGTATCTTTGCCTATTATGAGTAACAGTGAATATTCTTTGCAAAGTAAAATGCCTGTAATATTCAATATGATCACTGCACCATTTTAATTATTGTTCATCAATATTTATATTGAATATTTTACTATTTTTTTAAATCATAAGGAGGAGCATGATAGACTCATCAGGGTTCCAGTTTAAAGATAATTCAAGGTTCAGATGAAATAATTTAAAAATAATTTATGAGACCCTTCAAATGCTCAGAAAATAATTATTGTTAACAGTATCGTTAATACTTGGTTTCTCACTTCTCCTTTGATTTGCTGATAAATAAATTCATTCACAAATTAATTCTATGTGGTGAAGGTGTAAGGATGCTAATAAACTTCCTTCTCATTGCCCTCTCCCTATCCCAAACTGAATCTATCCTTACTGATACTAAAATTTTACTACCAGTTTTCTTATCTGGACTGTGGCCATGAATCCTGTTAAAATACTAAAAGTTCTATTTAAAATTTAACAGATTATATCTTATCTGGCATTTTTAAACCCAGGATGAATGAGTTTACGAGGGAGAACAGGTGTTGAAGAATGAGCAGAGAAAGGTGGAATGGGGCAAGGTTCTTTCTGAGAGAGGGGATTCTGATATGGTAACAAGGGAGGACAAAGCCAAGCACAAGTTCCTCAGTGCTTGCATCACCAAGCCACAGGGCTTTGTTTGCAATGATTAGAATCCTCAGGCTCTCCTAGGATTCAGTGCTGCTTATCTCATATCTCCTCCACACACAAGATATGTTAATCTAAAGGGAAGAGAAAAGGCATTTCCTTCTACATTATGCTGTTTATGTATTTCATGCTGGAAATCTGATACATTAATCATGATAGATTCCGACTCAGAGAGTCATGTGGTCCGACTCAATCTGATACATTAATCATGATAGATCCTGACTCATAGAGTCAGGTGGTCTTACCAAACTGCATAAATTCCAGTTCAATCCTAGGGGGAAAAGCAAAGAAAAAACACAACACTACTAAGTTATCTCTAGATAATTGTGAACCATTTGTCCCACACTGACAACATAGGAATCTGATTATTCAAAACATGCTGTATTAGTATAAAGGCATATACATAGATAAATCCTATGTTTAAGAAGTATGTGTTGGGACAAACAGTTGGCATAATAGCTATGTCATCGGTCTCCCATGTAGTCTACCACGGTTCTAGTCCTGGACCCAGTGGCTTAAACTCACACCGGGTGCATGTGCATGTGTGCCCAAGATCCAAGAGGAGAATGGAGGAGAAGGGATTGTGGTGTGGCCATCCCCCTGAGGGGTTGATTTCTTGCTTTCTGTCTCTCTCTCTGTCTTTCTGGTGAGTGCATGTGCCCTACAGCAAAAATCACTCCAAAAAAAGAAAAGTATGTTTCATGGGGTGATGTATACTCATGCAAATGAGCATGCTTCTCTGTCCACTGAAAACCTCCTTTTTTTTCATGACCATAAGTAACAGCTATGTGAGGGCCAGTATGCTTTTTCCTCAGGAACTCTGTGACTCTGTATTTGCTCTTTCTTTCAAAATTCCTCACCTTTTTAGAGTCTTGTGATTTGTTACCAAGGCTCACCATGAGGCAATACCTCCAAGTTCTTATTTCTATTTTTGCCAATAGTAAGATTAGTTCTGATGACAGCAGGGAAGTGAGTTTATCACCGTCAATAGTACCACTTTTAGCAGAGCCCTGACCATGGTGCATGAGGAAAGACACCTCTCACTTCTGCAAGAGGCTTCTTCTCATGGGTGTGGGATATGTGCTGGCTGAATAGGGGGTCACAGAGCACCCGAGTCAGGGGTTGTGTCAGTTGGCCATTCCGTCTATACTAAGTATTAAGGGAAACTGATGGCATTTTATATGTTTTCCTCTTCTGTCAAATTTATTCAGAATTTTAAATTATACTCAACCCATTTCTCCTGTTGGTGTAGTTTTAGTCAATTTCTTAGCTGGGATAACAAAGAATAATAATCCTACAAGTAAGGCAACAGTAGAATCTGTAGCAAAACCAGGGTACCTGAAAAAAGACAAATACATACATTAAAAAAGCCAACCAGAATGTCCATGAACTAAAATACTGATCAATTAAGCTAACAGCATATAAGTAACTGTGGTGGTATAGGTGATATATTCTGGATAACCTGCTTTAAAAAATCAATGAGATTCCAACTAAATGACATAATTTACTACAACCAATCATCTCAGGGAAATCCCCTTTATTCCCATATATTTCTCGTTATTTCAAAGCCTGTATTCACAAGCTGACAGGAGGCCAAGGTGGCAAATTCCCCTTTTAGGCAAACTTTCAGACTCACTCAACAACTTCTTTAAATTGTTTCTTTAAATTGTATTGGCAGAGAATTGAGGTTGAAATAATTGCTCGAGTAGGCAAAGTCTCATATAATTGATTTATAATAGCCGTCTATTGAAACTGAGGAAGTGATGTTTCTAGCACCCCCTAGACCTCTTCTGTAAATTGTGAAAAGGAATTAATCTGTTTTCTAAGATATAACACCTGCTGCTGCAGTTATAGGCCCTGGCCATATCATACAAATGAAATCAACCCATTTAAGGTTTTGCACCCCATGAAATGCAATCAAGAATATTAATTATTGGAATGGCTTATATGATGCTCATAAATTATTACCGTACAAATGAGGAGTGATTCAGGAACAGATGGGGTCTAAGAATCACTGGGCCATTCCAGCAAATAAGATGGATACCTAGAAGCCTCAATAGTTACAAAGCACTTGGAGACCAAATATAAATGAAACAGGCATAAATAGATGGAATTCAGTTTTAAAAGTCAGTAATATTGAATAGTACATTAGTGTTGTTTGAAAAGAAATATGTCAACCTAAAGATTATTTTGCCTCTTTACAAATAAGTAATGTAGGCATATTGCAGAAGTTTCTCTACTACAATATTTTTTCTAAAAAACCTAAATAATCACCAAAATGCATTGTCTTTCTCAATCTAACAATATTTTTTAAAAAATTACCTTCCTTAAATATAGACTTTTGTTTTTTTTGACTAAAAAGCTAACTTGGCAGTGTATCTCCTACCTTGACCTGTATTTATAACATGATTGTTTCTTATTTGTTTTATTTAAGTCACAATATTTGGTTGAATTTTTGCCAAACTGGACCAGGCATCATGTAACCAGATTTTGTTTTATATGAGATGACACATTGAATTCAGTCCAGATTCAAACAGATGGAATGAAAACATTAGGTGGTAGCTATAAATCTTGATATATCATGTTAACTTTAGAAATTCTAAAACCTATACAAAACAGATATATTCTACAAATGAATAAACTCAAGGCATAAATACTAAAATCATTTATTTTCAAGAAATTTTTAAAACTATTATTATTTTATCATAATTTTATTTTCAGTTTATATGTATTAGTTTAGGCAGCTTCTGTGTTAAAATTATTAAGTTTATACAAAATTTTTTTTTTGCCTTATGCTGGCCAATTAGATTTATATTTTCAAATTCTACACTCTGTCAAATCTTTGTTTTTATTCTTTCTCAGAAATCTAGGTATAATGAGCACCTTCCCTGTTTTTCTGCTGCAAATAAAACATCTCCTGAGTTACATTTTTCTTCTCTAAGAAATAGATATTAGAGACTGATTATATGGCATTTCATGTTGGGGTCTTTACGTAGTTTTTATTAGCTATTGTCTGATTTCATTTAGTTCTTGTACATACTGCTGACTACAGAAGGCCTTCTCTCTCTAACATGGTAGAATTTGGATTTATTTTTATTTATTTATTTTTTTGCCATAGGTTTCATGTACTCACCAGAGAAAGACAGGGAGAGAGGGAAAGTGAGAAATCATTCCCTAGGGGGGATGGTCATGCCACAATTCCTACTTCTCCTTTCTCCTCTTGGGATTTTGGGCACACAGAAATACCACTTGGTGTGATTTTCTTTTTCTTTTTCTTTTTTTTTTAATAATAATTATTTATTTTATTTATTCATTCATTTATTATTTTATTTTGACCAGAGAGAGACAGAGAGGGAAAGACTGGGAAAGCAAGCTGCCAGGTCTGGGACTCAAACCATGGTCAGCCATGTGGGAGTGTCCAGCACCTTAACCACCACACCACCTGCTGGTCCCCATGTGATTTTTCAAGCTATCAAGTCTAGGACTCGAATTGCAGTTGACCATGTGGGAGTCTAGCTCTTTAACTACCTACCAGACCACCTGCTTGCTCCAGGATTTGAATTTTAAGTGAGGGAAAAAATTATTTTTATATTGGTCTAGATCTTATTGAAAAACATAAAATACTAATTAGCCATTAAACAACAATGGATTATAGTCATTGAATGATTGGATAATGCTTTTAATTACTTATTTATAAAAATTACTATTTACTATTTTTACATTTAAAAATTTACGTTTAATCACTGTACATTTTTACAATGTATATTATGGTTTTTCACAGAATGAATACAGTACATATTAGTTGAATCAAAGATTTTATCATATATGTTATTAACAGATAACTTTTCATTTTTGCATCCATTAATTTTTTCCCCCTGACATTTGCTATATATTAAGTGGAGACATACAATGACTGTCTTTCATGGTCTGCCACTTTTCAAAATGAAAAGTTTTGCTCCTAAGGGAAATAAAAGCTTATAAAGCAGAAACTGGTCTTTAAAACATACTGCCATATTGTACTGCTTGACTTGTGTGATCAGTAGGAATTTGGACTCAGGCTCTGCATCTCTTAAAAATATTGATAATACCTATAAAACCAAAAGGCTCTGATTCAGGAGGAAAGAATTTTTTAAGTACATATGGATAAACTATATTTGATCCAAGCCATTTTGGTTTCTACTCCAAAATACATGAACTATTTCTGGGGAATGTGAGACAGAAATTCAAGTCATAATTCTGCTAAAATTAGGAATTGAGTACTTTATTGACAGGGAGATTGGGAACATAAGTCTCAAAACCAAATTATTTATATTGACATGTAGGATGGTCCTTATTTAGAAAATTTTGCTACAGCCTTCCCCCTCATTACATATGACTCAGCAATGACTAGTGGTGTTTGACACTGAGAAATAAAATTAACTCTGGCCTGGCTTCTAATGGTAACTTTTAAAATCACTTTTGGTTTGTGTGCTCACCAGAAAGACAGAGTCAGAGAGACAGAAAGCAAGAAATCACCCCCCAGGGGGATGGCCACACCACAATCCCTTCTCCTCTATTCTCCTCTCAGGATCTTGGGCACACACTCACACGTGCCCAGAGTGAGTTTAAGTCACCAGGTCCGGGACTTGAACCGCGGTTGACTACATGGGAGTTCAGCGACATAGCCATTGTGCTAACTGCTGGTCCCAGGAACTTTTTATCTGTGAAACTGGGCTGGGTTTGTAGTGGACTGTTGCCAAAATGGACATAAATGGTGAAAAAGATAAGATAGTGAACCAAATAAATAGCCTTCCAAGGAAGTAAGGCAAAAATCACAGAATATGAATTCATATCAGATTATTGACAGGTACCAAGTGACATTTAATCACATAATAAACATTTATGTAAAATGTCCCATAGGGAGAAAGGCAGCATAATTCTAAGTGCTACTGTTTTCATTTTACAAATGAAGAAACTAATAGTTGAATGATTTTCCCCAAGTGGAGGAGTCAGGAATGGAACTCAAACAGTGAGGCTCCAAAATATATACTCCTAACCATCAGAGAACATGGCCTTTAAGAAGATTATACATATTTACTTTCCTTCTTTCTTTTCTTCTTTTTTTTTTTTTTTTTACATTTAGTCACTATACATCTATACAGCATACAAAATGAATGTTCCTAACATGAATACATTGTATCTTCGACCAGTCAAAGATATTACCATACATATTATCATCAACAGATAATTTTCCATTTTTGTGTTTGTTAAATATTTTACTTCTTTTTTTCCCCTGGATGCCCTCCCTTCCACTCACTCTCACTTATTTGTCTGGAATCATAAAACATTGCATTATCAAAGCAATACAGCACAAAAAAATTGGAATACGAGGTATCTCATTTCTTGACCGCAAAATATCTTAAAAGCTGTGATAATCAAAACAACATGGCACTGGAACAAAAACAGGCATATAGACCAATGGAACAAAATAGAGACTCCAGAGATAAACCCCCAAATATACAGGCAACTGATTTTTGACAAAGGGCACAAGAAAATCCAATGTGGAAAAGAAAATCTCTTCAGCAAATGGTGCTGGAAAAACTGTATATCCATCTGCAGAAAATTGAAACTAGTCCTCTATCTTTCACCATGAACAAAAATCACCTCAAAATGGATTGAACACATTACCAAAAACCTCAAACTATAAAACTACTAGTGGAAAAGAAACAGGGGAAACTCTTAGAAACACTGGAGTTGGCAAAGACTTTTTAAATAAGTCCCCCAGAGCACAGGCAATAGTCACCAAAAGAGACAAGTGGCATTTCATCAGATTAAAAAGTTTCTGCACAACAAAAGAAACAATAATTAGAGTGAAAAGACAACCTTTAGAATGTGAGAATATATTTGTAAACTGTCCCTCAGATGAGGGACTAATAACCAAAATATAGAGGGAACTCAAGCAGCTTATTTGGAAAAAGAAAGAAAGAAAGAAAGAAAGAAAGAAAGAAAGAAAGAAAGAAAGAAAGAAAGAAAGAAAGAAAGAAAGAAAGAAAGAAAGAAAGAAAGAGAGAGAGAGAGAGAGAGAGAGAGAGAGAGAGGGAGGGAGGGAGGGAGGGAGGGGGGGGGGGAGGAGGGGAGGGAGGGAGGAAGGAAGGAAGGAAGGAAGGAAGGAAGAAAGAAAGGAAGGAAAAGAGAAAAATTCAAAATTCAATCCAATTAAAAGACGGAAAAATGAGCAGAACAGGTAACTCTCCAAGGAAGACATACGAACAGTCAGATTATACATTTTTTTAATTTTTTTTTCTTTTTGGAGAGTTTTTTTTTTTGTTGTTGTTGTTATAAGGCACATGCACTCACCAGAAAGACAGAAAGAGACAGAGACAGAAAGCGAGAAATCACCTCCTTCCCCCAGGGGGGGATGACCACCCACAATCCCCTCTCTTCCATTCTCCTCTTGGGATCTTGGGCACGCAGGCACACATGCCAGGCATGAGTTTAAGCCACCAGGTCCAGGACTTGAACCACGGTCGACTACATGGGAGTCCAGTGACACAGCCATTACGCTAACTGCTGGTCCCCCAGATTATACTTTTTAAGGGTGGAAAAAGCCTTCTTTCAAGGACCTGGAGTTTAGTTATAGAATAGCATGGTTATCCTTTCCATGATCTTACCTTAGATTCTGTTCCTTACAATTTTATTCCCTGAAAAGATTAGAATTTAGAATATCTTATTAAGAGAAGGAAGAAAAACGTCTATTACAAACTTTCAGAGTTATGAGAGCCACATAGGAAGAAAAGCATAGTATAAACAGGAAAAACAGACACATAAAACATGTAATGCTTACTTTGAAAAAAGTACGGACCAACCAGAAACAAACCCAGGATCTCGGCTAAACCATAGCAGGGCCATTACGATGAAGAGGACCAAAGTCACAATTTCTTGATACCTGTGGAAAAATTCCAGTGCTATCATGTCTTAATTTCTGAGTCAGGACATTTGAAAAGACTCCTTGAGTTATTGTCAGGAGTGATCTTAGCTGAACACTCAGCACTGTAGGAACTGAATGTGTCAATAATTTGTGAACTAAAGTCACCTATTCTGTTGTGGGGTTTATAATTTTTTTATCATTTCACCTAACATATTTTTGTTAGGCAGTGGTATGAATTTTGCCAAGGTGTATTATATCTACAAAGCTTAGCAAATTGGTGGCCCTAATCAAGTGCTCCAAATACCGTGCAAGCGACTTCGTGTTTATTTGCTTTAAAGAACTATTTGTAATATAAGTGGCATATGTGTGTGTGTGTGTGTGTGTGTGTGTGTGTGTGTGGCTTACCTTATCGGCCCAAGTTTTTGATATTCTTGCTTAATCACCTCAGCACAAGCTTTTTGTTTGACTGTTTGGGTTTTGCCACATTTGAACATCTCCTTAAAACTAAAAAGAATAAGCTTGTTAAACAATAGATTCTTCCACTAAGTCCCCACCCCAGCCCTTGGGTGGAAGATGATTTTTTGTGTGTGTGTGTGACAATTTCATGAGATATAAACCTCCCACCGAATAAAATTAATCTGTAGTTTTTGCCTATACCATCATCTCTTTCTTTGAATGTCACCTCCTCTCTTCCATTGTTGCCTGGCTTGCTCATTTCTCAATGCTTAAATTTCATTGTGTATTTTCCATGACATCTCCCATTGGTACCTTGCTTTTCCAAGTCATTTTGTATCACTTAAATTTTGCCATGTTTCGCTCATCTCTAATTAACACCATCACCTACTTGATCATCATATTATATCTAAAAATATACTTATTATGTATATCGACTATTAATTGTTCCACACATAGAAGTTTTATCCCACTAGTTAGATAACAAGTCATTTGATGGCAGGGACAGGAACAATATTATAGATGTTTTCTTTGGACTAGATTCTCCAAGCACTGGAACACACAGCAAATACTTGACTCAACAACTGATTGGAAAACTTATGAGAATGCTGGGGGTCAGATTCATTAATTTTCACAGAGTATACTACAGTCAAGTTACATATATGGGCAGGGAAGTGACATACACTGATTACGGTCAGAATCTATATTAAGTCTACTCTCAGAAGTAAAGCCAATGCAATACATTCAATACATTTTTTTTTAAAAGTTTCTCTACTTCTTTGTTCTAATAGCACCCACTAGGTAATCTTCCTACTTTTTTTCTTTATTGCATACAACTTCTTGTTTTAGTGACTTCTTTTCCCTGTGACTAATTGTTCTGCCCTAAAGTCTAGGGTCTTCAAAAGTTTGAATGGTTGTTTGTGATGCACTGTTCTACATGTACATTTTTTTAAAATTCCCCTCTTGTCTTTGTCTGTTGTGGAGATGCTAATATAAATACCTGAGACTGGGTGAATTATAAAGAAAGAGGGGCTTATTAACTTCAAGTTGTGGTTTCTGGAAAGACCAGCCTGGCTAATGAAATCATAGATGATAGCAGGTACATGTGGAGAAAGAGAGAGCTCTAAGGAGCTCGTAACTCTTTTTCTCATGAGAGCTAGAACTCACTGGATCTCCTGAGACATCGTTCATCTATTCACGAGACTGTTGCCTCCATATTGCAATCACCATGACCCAATCACTGCCCACTAAACATCACTACTTCTCAATATCAAATTCTCAAAGATGAAACTTTGGGGGACAAACCATCATGTAGACCATGATGCATCCATAATAAATAACAAGTGGGAAAATAAGTAGATCCTTGTGGATTAATGTTCTAAATGCTGAGTAGCTCAGTTAGTTTATATTATGTGCAGGTACAAAAAACAGGGACATTTTCTTCTGTAAAACTTCTGGGTTAAGGATACATATTCATGAGGGAGTAAACAGAAAGACTGGGTTGATGGTAAGCCAGCTGTCACTCAAAGACACAATACTTGTTTTATTATTTTCTTTTTACTGCTATTCAACCTTATTTGGATTGAGACTCCCTTTGAGGCAACAGCACTTCCAAAATTTTAAGCCATTCATTTAAAGTATAATCACTCTTAAGAATATGCCCCAAGCATGAACTAACTAGATGGATGCTGTTGCACTTATGATGGATAAGAAAATAATTAATGTTTACAGCCTCAATTAAATTACAGACTAGTGTCAGTCCTGAAATTGTCATAACATAAATACTACTATTAAAAGAAAGTGATCCATGAGCGGCCTTGAGAACCAGCTGAAGAAGAGAAAAGTATAAGGAAAGGGATAAGAATCTTCTTAGAAAGTATTTTCTCCCTAATACACTGCGTACGTACTTTGTCAGGTTAGCTGTGGACAATAGATAGTTAAGTCAAAAGCCACATTGGCTCCGCTACATCTGAAGGTTAATGCCTTCAGAAAGGAACTGATAAAGCATATGACAATGCATCAGCCTCTCCATTTAAATAAGTTCAGTGCCACTGATGGATGAGCTTCTCTTGCCAAGTGTGTTGGGGTCATTTATAATGGGGGAGTTAACTGTGTTAACAGCCAACACACTAATCACAATGTCTGATAGTCTGCCAGGGGAGTGGCTGATGATTTCTGTTTGTCGATCTAAAACCTCTGGAAGTGAACACCCTGGCAGACTGAAAAGGACACTGAAAAATTGGCCAGGGCATGAAGCTGAGCAGTGTCTAACCAACAGTGGACAGCAAGGGACTGTTTAAACATGCCACTGATTATGATTTATGGACTTAGCCTAACATACGAGCTTCGTGGGATTTCTTTTTCCTCATAGAGAACACATTTCCACACATCTGCCCTTTAATTTTTAAATTTCTGTTTTCTAAGTGAGAGGTCATTTTAAAATAATGACAATGGTTGCATATATATTTTATAATGTCATTGTTTTCAGCAACAAAGAGTAAACCCATTGGGGGGCTTATGACTAGATACTTTCTCCATTGACATGAGAGTCCTATCCCCTGCATCCAGCCTTGCTACCTGTGCAATTGAATAGACCCCCCAAAGGCTTGGGTTTCCTAGGAGGGCACTTAGGATGCAGCTGGTCTCTTCCCTCTGGTGCCCACCTGCTGAAGTCAGTGACATTCCAGAC